AGGAGGAATCCTTCTACCTGCCACCTTCTCTGCCCTCTGGAAAGAGATGACTCCCTTGAATAGTTCTAATTTTTCCTTCTTCTCTTTCCTGTTCCAATGACATCACTGAAAGTGTTGAGAAGTGCAGTAAGAGGCTGCACTGGAGATGTTTATCTCCTTCAGTCTTCTGTACAGACTCATAAGGATCATTCAAATAAGATCTGCTGTTAATTGTCAGTTCTAAGTATGCTGCTCTGGTGTGTGATTATTTTGCATTAGATGTTGCTGTTTTGGAGTGTATGCCTCTTTCTAGGCCATGAGAAACAACAAACAAGCAATAAACAAAACCTTAAAAGCAACCCAGAAGTGTTCTGACAGCAGAAAAAAATGTCACATCAAATCTAGCAAAGTGACTTGCACTGAGAAGAACCACACTAACTGTTGTAGGCTGAAACCAGCTGATAAAAGCAGGTTTCATTCATGGTTTTACCTGAGTTGCTCCATTTTGGATGCAATTAAACATCAAATTGTAAATATACTTAGTCCATTTGTCCTACTTAGCACAACAATGATGCAGTGGCTTCAGAGAAAAGTGTATTCAATTCTAATGTAATTATGCTGTGACCTACTGATACTGGTCAGGTGATATTACAGGATATAAAAGGAGTTCATAATCTAGTCTAAAATCATACAGTCAGGTTGGCCACGACAGACTATGGCAGAAAAATTAATAACAAATAATGCTACAAAAGTAACCATGAGAATAAAGGTGGAATGTTTTGATTCTAATTTTCAATGAGTAGCTAACTTTGAAATGTCCTTATATTTCACAGATTTAATAGATTTTCCACAAGCATTTGACAGAAATTTTGAAGAGATGAGTGTGTTTTGTATATACACATATACTGATATCTATGATCAGAATTTGAAAACATGTAGCTGGAATATGAATGCAAAAGCTGTCAGTTGCCATTGTAATATTATACAGATTTATCTCTGTAGGGCTCCTTGTGACTTCATGAATTCTGTCTTTCCTCTATTAATAACACTGAGAGAGGGGTTGGGGAAAAATAAGCAAGAAAAAATCTCCATATTAATTCACAGAACTGCCTAGGCTTGGAAAGACAGATGGAAACAGAGAGAAAAGAATGAGTTTATCCAGTCATAACACTACCCACTTCAAGGTTATTTCTAAACGTGTTTTTAAATTTTTATTTAATATGTGTAATTTAGGACTTAGTCCTTCAAGATATCCCTTATGCAGATGATTTACTCACAGGAGTAGGCTTGCTGACTCTGGTGGAATTTTCTCATGTGAGCGAAGATTGTAAAGGCAGAGGATTAAAATCCAGAGTGTGTATGTAGCTTACATAATTTCAAGTCTGTCAAAATTCATATCTATATTATCATCTGCCCAAGTTACATAACAGGAAGGAGCTCTGAGTTGTTTGTTCTTCCCCATATGCCTGAAACACATGTATAGTCTTAGAAATTTTGGATTGTATAAATTATTACCAAGGAAAAAGTAAGAATGAATGAAATACAAATAAAACTTTCATTTTGGGTCATATCAGAGGCAAGCACCACCCCCCGGATGGTGTCTGACAAGGCACACATAACAAGCACTGCACTTGTTTACCAGTAAGATCTTGCATTATCATTTGCTTCCTGACACAATCTTTAGCCAAGTCAGCACCAGTGCTGCCTTTACCTAAGTCATGATATCAGTTCCTTTTTCATGTTTCCACACACACACACCTGAGCAACAGCACATTCCTCAGCATTTCAGGCTGGGATCAGCTGGGTTTAAGGGTGGTTGTATCTCCCCAGGAGCACTCAGCACTTGGCAGGATTGAAACTAGTGAGTCTACATTTGTTTTGGTTACTTTAACAAAATCTTATTTCAAGGCAGTCTTTCTCCTTCATCTTTATGTAGAATGTTGGTTCAAATTTATTTTGAGATGCAAGGAAAGAAAAATCAGGTGATGTCTTAAATTTTACTGCAAGAAAAAAAAAAGGTGAGCAGTGAGCATTATTTTTATTCATGATAATGAATGCTTTGTTAACTACAAGAAACAGCAAAATCAGGCACTAGTACTGCATGCTTCTGTTCAGCATTACTAATGGTTTGAACTCCTGGTGAACATACTTATCAATGAAAACTAATATTAATTAAGAGGTTAAGGGAAAACAGGTCAAAGCAATTGATTTTCCTCCTGTGTAAACTGTTGCAACTTTAAGATCTTAGACTTATAGTTGACTTATAACTATGTGACTGAGAAGAGAATCAGAACCATTTTGCCCATGAATACTACTGGGTACAATACTAAACTGACTCCAGGGTAGACAATTCTTTCTGTCCAGAATTGAATTCAGTATTTTCCCTGTATGAAATCTTTATCTTAGAAAAATCAGTGGAAAACTCATTATATGTACCATGATCATAGTTTTACTTACTGTTTTTTCTTTCATTGCATACTTAAATTTCTGGTTTTGGTCCAGTGTAAGCATCTGCCTGCATCCTGAGGCACAGCAAGATGCTCACATATATTGCTACTGATCAAATAGTTCATTTAGCCTTGTAAGGCTTCTTTGAAGGACAGATGCAGGATTTTACCTGGGAAAATAAGCCCTGTTAGAAAAGAGAGTGTTTTGCCTGCAGGGTGAAGAAATCTGCATTGGCCAAAAAATTTCCTACATAAACTTGATGACACAGCCATTTAAATTTTCTCTGTTCTCTTGAGAAGTAACAGTTATATGCCCTTCATCAGCCGTAAAAGTATTCATTTACTAACACCTGAAAGGGCTAGGCAATTCTCTGCAAAAAGTAAAAAAAAATGGTGCAACACCAAAAAGTGACAAAGTAAGGCTGCGCCTCCCCCCGGGCACCAGCTGCGGCTTCCCGGAGCCCCCGGGATGAGCCCTGGACCACCCCGCGAAGAGGATGGGGAGTCGCGGGAGACGGGTTGGGGGTCGCGGACAGGGTCCGTCCCTCCGGGGCCGCTGGAGGGAGCCCCCGGGCCGCGGCGCGGCGGCTTCAGCACCGCGCGGGGGGACAGCGCCCGTGGAGCCGCGCTCCGCAACCCGCGCATCCCACCGCGCTCCGCAACCCGCGCATCCCACCGCGCTCCCCGCGGCATCCGGCTCTGAGAGCCGGCCCCGGCGCGGGGGAGGATCCGGCCTCTCCCGTAGGGACTGGAGGCAAAACGGCCGAAGCAGAGCAAAATCGGGCGACGTTAAGCGGTCCCTGGGCAGGCGAGAGCCAGTGTAAATAAGCACTGACGTGTGACAAGCTGCACGGATCCTGTTAAGGGATTTATATATGTAGTTCATGAAGGCAATCATCTGGCTGACAATCTCTCGTTGTGCACCGCTCAAAGACAGTTCATTCACACAACTGTCTGCAAAATGAAGATATTAGTATCCCTCCTGGGAAATGTCTGTGGCAAATGCATGTGTGCGTGCGCGTGTGCATGGACCGGCTAAACAGCTGTGATACTGGTGGGTAATGAGATAGCAGCGCATTACTCATTGCTCCAAGAGAGGACATGGAAGTAAATTAAGAAATCAGCATAACTCACACAGCTATTGACCCATCAGTAATAGCACCAGCAGTGCATGGGAGTAGGACACGGTGCGCGGCTGCAGTTCATTCATCGGCATGTTACCAAGAGCTGGGAACAACTCTGCACAGCCTAATTGTCTTACATCCACAGAGTTTGGCCAGGCACAGCACACCAGGGCAGCTTCTCCTGAAACAGGATGAGCCCAATCACTGGGAAGTGAGTCAGGCAGCCCACAGCTAACAAGCGCATGGAGTAAGGGAATGGGCAGGGTGTGTAGGGGTTTTGGGATTGCCAAGGTCTAAGGAATGTAGATGTGTCCTAAGAACCACAATCATCAAAACTTCCCGGTGCAAGATCAGTCACTTCCCAGCTGCACATCCCAGCACTCATGTAAACAATATACCACCAACAACACATTCCTCTGTACTCTCCCTCCTTTGGGGATTATCTGCCAGTACCTCCACCCCCTTCTCTCCAGAGCCAAATGGAGATGATAATCTGCTGTGAAATATTGGTAGCACAGAGCTGTGACAGTCTGGGAAGGGAGGGGGAAAGGGAGCAGCTAGAATCTCCAGGATTAAGTTGTCCTAGTTAGCCAGTGTTTTCTTGCCTTGCAGGGATATTGGGAATTTGGTGCATTCTCACTTTCTGTGGAAGAAGCCATCTGAGTGTTAAGTCAGGTTAGACCTGGTTTTAACCCTGCAGACCCTGTCTTGCCCAGTGCCTCTCAGCGGTTTGCACCACACACCACTCCACCATGTAACCAGTACTCTGTCCTAGATCTCACTTGTAAGGATGCAGCACAACAACATTTGCCCCATGACTACCAGCAGAAAAGGTTTCTCAGTGTCCTCCAAAGACAGCCTAGGATCTCACATCAAATATCCCCAGGGGAGCTTTGCCCTGGTTTCACTGAGGTTTCACTGATTTCTCCTTGCAAAGGAGCTTTGCTCCTGTTTTCTCATAACTCAGATCAAGCTGCCCTTCACATATAAGTATACCAATTCCCCCAGCTGATTCAGAGTTAAAAAGCACGAGCAAGAAAAATGGGCACAGTGTGAAAGTTTGGCTAAGACAGAGTCATCTCAAGCCCCAAACCACTGCTGGAAGTCAGGGAGGGGAATGATAAATGACCCATCCTCCCCACTTGCTCAAGGAGCTTCTGCCTTCAAAAGTTATTTCAAGGGACAGCAGTGTAGTGAATGTACAAGGAGAGGGGACAGAGTGGTTAGGAATTGTCCCTACTCCCAGCTTGAGGTAAAACACTGCGATGAGAAAAGGGTGGCAGAGGATAGGGAGACAGAAAGCTTTCATTTTGCCTATGATCTCCCCCCTGGGTAATGAACTTCTGAGCACCTGATTGTAAGGGAGAGGATCTTTTGGGACACTTACACCTCTTCTTACTCAGGGTGATGGAGAAAGAGGACAGTTCCCACCCTCTCCTCACCACAGTACCTGGTTGAGGGAAGTCACGGCGAATCTGGGGATTACCAGCTGCATGACGAGCTGCAGGACAGAGGTGACCAGCCCAGCCAGGATGGCCCAGGTGAGTGGTAGCGGGAGCATACTGTAGGTCGCAAAAAGCGTGAAAAGCACATAGCCAATGCCGTCCCCAAGGAGGCCACAGCCCAGGCCTGCCGCCAGGATCTGTGTGGCCATGGCCACCCAGGTGACAACACCACTGTACTGCAGGTAGGTGTACGAGGTCGTGTCCTTCCTGACCACCACTAAGGCACAGATCACCACCTCGATGCCAGTGAAGAAGCCCAAGAGAATGCCCTTAATAGGGTCCATGGGAGCAGAGGCCAGCGTCAAGTGGAGGAACAGTAGGGTCAGCTTGGTCAGCACGTCCAGGATGTTCATGACCACCTCAGATTTGCGCCGCTGGCCCAAGAAGTAGCGCTGGTAAAGGCGCTCCAAGTCCCGGGACTTGAAGGAGTTGCGGAGAGTGGGGAAGATCACCCCGCGATATGTATAGCCCCAGTTGAGGAAGAAGTCGGAGTTGCTGGGGGCACAGTCCAGGGGCAGAAAGCCCAGGTCCCCACTACTGCTCGTGCGCTCCGGGAAGACTTTGGTGCCTCCGTTGTTGTGGCGGTCGCTGCCCAAACTCCGTCCGGCC